AATGCCCCCGCCCGCCTTGCTGGCTGGGGCATTCTGGGAGTTGACGCCCACACATCTTAAAGTGGCCAAGGTTGAAAAACACTGCCCTAAACCATAACATGGTTGTTTTGTTCTGAATTTGTGTGAACCCAGTTGTGATTTGTTCAACAAGCCACGGTTAACAATGTGACTTAGCACGATAAGTGGGCTTGGGAGGCTTTAAGCGAATGGGATTAGTGAATATGCAACTAGCAAAAGTTGGTTTCCAACAGGATACCAATCTAAACTGGTAAAGGGCACTCCTAGAATCCAGGAGACACCCCCCTCCCTGCCGCCAACCGTCCACGTACTTGCGTGTTCGTTCTTTTGGCAGAATGCTGCACAAAATCAGTGACATTATCCGGTTATTCGATTTTCTCCATGCACCACATCTGGGTTGCATCTGCACCTGTCCGTCCTGCCCTAAACTCTCTCTGGAGCACCTGTTCAAGAGCTCCAGAGTCTCCTTGGGAGTCGATGGGAAAGAAGCAGTTGCCTTTGGAGGTCATCATTCAGCTGGAGCCAAAAGGTCATCTCCCTCCAGATCCACCTGGGAGCTATGGGCCTCTGCCTTCCTCATGTGGGATGGGGATCTTGCCACCGATCAGCTTCTTCCTAAACAGTGGGGAGAAGCAGGGAGGTTGCTGGGTTGATGGTTTAAACTAGCAACTGTTTGTCAAAGAAGCTTTGGTGTTTATTTGGGCAGCTGGATTTCTCCTAATTCTTCCTAGAACTCCTAGAACTTTGGCCATGTCATGCGATCAAACTCACTGGAAAAGGCAGTTGTGCTCGGAGTGGTCCGCGGTAAAAGGAAATGAGGCACCAAAAATACGTGGCTAGACGCCATCTAGGCTGACCCCAACCGGAGCGTAAAGCAACTGGAAGAAGCCGTGGAAGATCAGAAAATGTGGAGAGAGTTGATCCATAGAATCGCCGAGAATGAGACGCGATTGAACAAATAGCATCACCGTCATCCTTGAACTTCTAAAAGCTCCCTTGCTTTCCACGATGTGATAGACCTTGCATGATTCCTTGGTAAGAACGCAAGAAGAGCCCTGCTGGATCAGGCCCTTGGTCCCTCTAGCCAGTCCTGGGCCTCACTCAGTGACCCCCACGCTGCCTCTGGGGAGTTTCCCAGCATTTGGAGGGAGGCAGCAATCACCGTCCCAACACCCTGGAGAGCTGGATCCTCCACAAATGGTCTTGTTCCCTTTTTGAGCCATCTGCACTGGCTGCCATGGCAACTGCTGGCAGTGAATTCTGCAGCTTAACGATGTGCTGTGTGAATAAACATTTCCTTCAGTCCCTCCTGAATCTTCCTGCATTTAATTCCTGGTTATGCTAACGCCATCGGTGAAAGGATCCCATGGAGATTCAGAAGAGAACAAGGACAATCTGGACTCTTCGTTGCATATGCAGCAGGACCTCCTTGAATTAACCTCTGTGGACCACCCACCCTAGTTCAGGCATAAGAGCAGAAGCCATGCCCTGCCGGATGGGCCCCTTGGACCATCTCGTCCAGCAGCCTGTCCTCACAGTGGCCCATCAACTACACCAGGAAGCCCACCAGTCTCCCAGCAGGTGGCCTTTGGAGGCAGTCCCAGTGCTACCAAGACTGATAGCCACGGATCCCCAGGACTTCCATGAATGGGTCCAACCCCTTTTTAAAGCTAGCCAAGCTGGTAGCCAGCCCCACAATAGCCAATTCCAAAGCTGAACTATGAATGCTCTGGAGAACTTCATGGTCCCCTTCCTGATCCCGCCATTCCAGGCACAGTTCAACCGTTTCCAGAATTTCTCTGAACTGGCTCTTCCAGAGAAACTCTTTCTCTTCTCACATCCAATCTGGAAGACTCCTTGGGGCTTTTCCCCAGGGCTGGCATGCTTTTCCCCCATCCTTCCAGTATCAGAGGTGTGGGTTGGGAGATCCTCTTCACAAAGAACCTGCCTTAAATTAGCTGCTCTGAAAGTCTGGAAGGAAACTTGGAGAACAAAATGGCACTTCTTAAACTTACAACATGAAAGAAGGATCTTGCTGAAGGCTCAGTATTTTTAATTAAATATTTAAATTCTCTTGGTTTCAAACAGCAAAAGAAAAAAGTAACATAAAACGTAACATACTTAACAGGGATCTGTATCTCATAGAGGTAAACCAACTAAATACAAACACGTTTAAGGTAGCCTGGGGAGATTACATTTCCCCACAACGGTACATGTTCTGTTTCCAACAGAAGGCGTCCACTTTAACACGGGGGGGGG